TGAGAATGCTACAGGAACATCGGAAGTATGATTTCTTGATGTTGGATAAGACACATTCTTTGTTATCAGGGAGTTACATACCTCGTCGATGCATAATGCTTTATTTCAGAAATAAAGCAAAATAAAGATGTTTCGCCATTAAAGTGTGCCGCCTAGTTATGTCTGCACATTCGATCTCGAGGACCATCAATCAATATTCATGGATCAGGATTTTTTAGCGATCACGATTTAGATCACGATTTCAGGATCATCAATCAATACTCATGGATCACGATTTTAACTTTTAGCATTCAAACTTGTGCCTGAGCTATATGGTTACTCTCGAAGGTATTCCCTCTTGAATGCGATTCCATTACTTGCATAACTACCTCCTGTGTATATTGCTTCATATTCTAAACCTTCCAGTGAGGACAACTGATTTCTATGTGCGATTTTCATGTTCTTGAAGAAGATCAAACGGTGGACTGGGCGACATTTGAAAGCCACACATCGTTGACGATCTGTGAAGTTGTGTGATTATTTCGTACGTCCTATATTCGTTTCAAAATGTTTTCTAATAATATGAAATGCTGCCGACAAAACAATTGTTTTCAAAAAAACTTACTGTCGTGAGTTGATTATTGCATGCGATTTGATGGTTGATACAATCGAGAATTATGCTGAAAAGATCGATGATTTAATGACGAATTCAGGTAGATTTTTCGAATGCACATGATTTGCGACTGCGAATGTCAGCTCATTCATTCGTTGGAACAGTGTCATTAGTGTTCGACTGTTGAATCTTTTGTGAGCAAAGTCGAAAATTTGGGCGAAAATTTAACAGCAATTCCTCATTAAGGAAGCTGAAGTGATCAGAATGAATTTTGTGCGATAAATTGGTGAAACGCCGGTATTTAATACTACGGATTCCTTCTTTTTTTTGAATGTATTAAAGAGAAATGTTTGACTTTTGTTCGTAAATTGAGGATTTCTTATAGAGGGCCGGGCCCGTTTCGCAAAGTTCAAAATGACGGCAAGTCTCTAGAAGTTGCTGCAAATGAAACTGAAACTTCAGAGAATCGTTTTATTTTTGGTACGTTGAAACTGAAAAAAACGGCAGTTTCGTTAAAATAACCGACCTGTCCGTGTAGACACCCCTAAGGATCACCTCACTGAGCACAGCATCCTTGAACGCGTTGATATGCATTTTTGAAGATTCTGCACTCTTCGATTTCTTTTTATGATTGTTCGAGTGTTTTTGCTCATTCAGCAATGTTGGGAACAGCGTCTCAGGCAGATTACTATGCAGTGTTGCTTCTGAATCTGGGAATAGTTGATCGATTCGGGATTTCCCTGAGGTGTCGGCTGAGATTTCAGGTTTATGCTTCACAACTGGTGGTGGTTGATAGCATCTAAGCGAGGCAATTTTCGATGGAACACTCAAATAGGCACTGTTCGGACGAATCGGTGGTGGCTCAAACGAAGGCAGGCAACGTCGTGATCGAACTCGTATCAGCGGTTCACTTCTATTCGACAAACGGCTTCTGGATTGGGGAAATATCTGAAGTTTTGAGATTATATAATGATCTAACGAAGACGATTGCTAATACAATAGATTTCTTTCATTGCAATTTTCAACATTTTGTGATGGCATATGTTGAATGTTATAGAAGTTTTCACAGCATGACGTTGGAGATAACTTCTGAAAATCGTCAGCAATCAATCAAAATTTTGCTGAATGTTGTTATGAATTGCTGTGAATTGAAGTAGATGTTACATGCTCTATATCGACGTTTTGCTCTGATTTATTCCACCTTTTATCCACTAATAAAAGATGAACACGAGGTGAAAATGCTTACAATAAAACAAAATTAACGAAAAAAATAACAAAGTTCTTCCCCTCTCACATACATTATCGTTG